AGGGGGTGGCAGCTCCAGCCCTCCCGCCACTCCAAAGTCACCCACCCGCCCGCCTGCCACGTGGGGCCAGGGAAGCCACCTCCTGCCCCCCAGCTGTGGAGAAGCCCACCGCTGAGCTGCCTGGAGGCCGAGGGCGGAAAGGTCCGTGACCTGGCCGGGGGGCCTCCATCCTCCCCCCGGTGCAAGCGGAAGCAAGCCCTGCTCTGGACCACTAAGATCCCCGTGATTCGGAGCCATCCACCCAGGTGCCCCTCTAGGTGAGGGACCTGGGTCCACGAGATGATGGGACCCTCCAAGTCAGTTCCCCCTCCCTGGGCCTTGGAGGGCTGCAGAGCACCCTCCCCTCTTTGCAGGGCAGAACTTCCAACAGGCTGCCCCCCTCGGCCTGCCCCGCCAAGACCCACCTCCCTCTGCCGGGAAAGAGCGAGCCCGTGTGGCCTCTCCCGCCGCAGCAAGGCTGCTCGTCCGGGGGGCGCCTGGCAAGGTGCCACTTGGTTGCAGCCCGTTGTGCTTGGGGATCTGAAAGGCTCCAGGAGCTGGTGAGGGACTCTCACGACTGAGATTGGGCGGGGGATTGGCCAGGGAGGCTCCTGCTGGCCGGGGGGCACAGAGATGACTTTGCGGGGGGCTCATTTGTCAGGGCCTGGGAGAAGGCTCGGCAGGACCAGACAGACAAACGTGGTTTGTTAGGACTGTCTTTCTCAGGCCAGGCAGGGCTACCTGAGGGGACTCTGTGGCCACAAAGGCAGGTTGCCTGCCCTGACGCACACAGGCTGCCTCAAGGGCCCCTGGCCTCTGGCATCTTTGGCGGTTGGGCATCCAGGCTTCTGGGCTGGGTCTACCCAAACAAGACAGATCCCAGGAGTCAGGCCAGGTTTGCCAAGTGGGCACATCCCTCTCGGCCCCCCTCCCCCGCTGTCATTTGCGCCCCAGAAGGCGGCCACTCCTGCCCTCGGAGAGTTGCCAGCAGGCTGGCAGGAGACAAGCACTCTGGGTAAGGGTCGCTCAGGGCCAGCAATGTAGGGCGTAGCGCCAGCTTTGCCAACAGAATGGGGGCTTTTGGCCCCCTCTCGGTCTTTGCTGTTGGGGGAGTTCACCAAGGAGCCCCTGACTCAAATGTCCCCCCTGGTTCTCAGGGGCCTTCCGGGTCTCCCGCAAGGCCAGTTCCCACCCCGTGGCCGTGGCTGAGCTCTCTCCATCCCGGCTCACCTGCCAGGCAGGAACATTCCAAGGAAGCAGGCGAGGGGGTTGGCCAGGCTGGCCAAGGTGGCCGAGAGGTGGTAGGCGGGGCGGCCGTAGGGAAGGCAGGAGTAGGACTGCAGTGCAGGGAGGAGGCCATTGGTCAGGGCGTTGGCCCAGGCCATGAGCCCAAAGATGCAGGCCTTCTGGGCACAAGAGTAGGTGGGGCCACCGCCAGAGTCTATGCCCCTCATCCTGGGCCGTGCTTTCACAGGGGCTTGTGCGGCATCCGGGCTCTCTCCCTGTACCTGGGCACGGTTCTCCTTTGCCCATTCAGGCAGGTAGTTGAGGAAGAGGAAGGCTGCCAGGCTCAACGCCATCATGCTGCTGAGGAAGAGGAAGAAGGTGCGGACGGAGAAACGGGCTTCTTGGTACTCGGCCAGCAGCCCTGTTGTGCCATTGCCTGCCAGGCTGGCATTGATGCAGTGAGCTGCGCTCGCCCCCTGCCCCAATGCCACCAGCCCTGGAAGGAGGCCACTTAGTCCCTCGCCCACGAAATAGGTGGTGAGGTGCTGGGGCTGCAGCCGGAGCATGTAGGGCAGAAAGGTGACAGAGGAGGTGCAGTCCACCAGGGCCAGGAAGAAGAGCAGGGCCAGGAGGGGCACGCTGTAGCGGGACCCCCCCAGCACGCTGGTCTCCTGCCAAAAGAAGGCCAGCAGGACGCAGGCCAGGCAGCCGAGCCCCAGCAGGCCATAAATGACGCCTGCCTCGTCCACCTGCCCACGGAGGAAGCAGTGTGCCAGGGTGAAGGCGAGAGGCCCCAGGTTGGCCAGCTGGATGACGATTGTCAGGAAGGATGGCAGGAGCCAGCCCTCGGGCACATGGGGCACCATGAGAGGCAGCTCCACCCACACGCCGTTGATGGCTACCCACGAGCCTGTCCCCAGCAGGCAGACCAGGATGTGGACTAAGAGACCCATGCTCCGGAGAGGGCTGAGCTCGGGGCGGTCTGGCTTCTGGAAGAACAATGTGCGAAGATGCCTGGTTAGTGAATCCAGCTCTGCAAACACCAGGGCGCAACAGGGGGCGGTGACCTCCCTGCCCACCTCTTCAGATGATCTGCTACTCCCAGCTCTTATTTCGCTGTGGGGAGGAAAGGAAAGAGAGGGAGGGGGAAACGTAGGTACCTTTTAAAAAACGTATTTCAGCAACAGGTAAATCAGAAAAATACGTGCAAATTTACCGCTGTGTAAACACATCTCACTTCCTTCTGCAGTTCAGAATGGCTGCTCTGAACAAAGATAGGACATGGCTGTACTGAATGAAGCAGTAATCCACTGAGCCACGCGCGGCCGTCTCCAGTTGACCGCAACGGCTCTCCAGTAAATCCCAGTGGAGCCCATTTGCACAGCCTCCTCCTGCGCACACAGGTTTTAGTCTCTGCCATCTCTGGTCAGGATACGAAGGCGCCTTCCTGGCAAGCGGCTTTGGATAGTGTCCTCCGGCCAGAGTGGAGAACAGAGGTGGCATTAGCTGCATGACATAGTCCCAGGCAGTGTTTCTCATGCTGGCTGGGGGATTCTGGGAGTTGAAGTCCACACATCTTTAACTTGCCAAGTCTGAAAAGCACTGTCTGCGCTCTTCCAATGTCGGTCGATCGATTGATCGGCAGCTTTCCGGCCGCAGCGTTAGCGCTCTTCCTGAAGAGCACGGAGCCCGCGTCCGCGCTGCTCTGCCTGTTGAGGGGCAGCTCACCTCGCAGCTGACAGCGGAAGAGCTCCCTCCCTCCGACTCGGGGCCACCCTCTCCCTGCGCCAGTCAGCTATTCTTAGCCTCTGAAAGCATTAGAAGCACCCCAAGCAGCAGCTGACAGTCATGGGGGAAGCGGGTTGTGCCCTCAGGCGCCAAGAGAGACCATCCTTTTTCCTGCCTCCACAGGAATTCGCTTCCCAACCAGTGAATTCCCTTTCCACACAAAGCCAGTTGGACACATATATCCCGAGCCGTGACTGCTATATTTCCCATCTTCTCTCATCTTAAATTTGTCTGTTCCCCTTTAGGGCAGTTTAGGGCTAGTTCCACACCCCTGTGAGCAAATTCCATTGATTAGTGATGCCCAGGTGTGTTAAACTGTCTCACAATCAGTTTCCTGGCTCTGTGCCAGTCGGATATTTTGGAGAGAGGGGAAAACACTTTGAGGCACCCAGTAATCGTGGCTTCCTCCTTTACTTCAAGGGTTTACGATGAAGGTGGCTTTCCAGAGGGGAGGATATCCATTCATTTAGCCCAGCAACAAGAATCCTCCAGATGGCCTTGTTTTGCTTTACCGAAAGCCATAAACCATTGAAAGTTACCTCAGGAACTTTTCAGCTTGCCTGGATCCCAACACCAGACTTGAATGATCCCTGCTGGCACTGAAGCGCCATTTTTAATGAGGTCTAACCGTGGCTTACGCCAGAGGGCTCCATGCTGGCTTGGGACTTCCACACTCTCCCTCCTCCCTGCTCCCAGCTAGGCAGAGAACCAGCCCTGCCCTCCATTGCAAGCTGGGGGAGAAGGTTTGGACCAGAGAGCTCCTCCCTGTCACCTTCAGGCCAGGCCAGGCCACCAATTCTTGGCCAAGATCCGGTGAACCACCCTCCGAAAGGAAAAGTGGTAGTTTGAGGGCCCACCCAAAAGCCATAAAAACACATGGACGGCTGCCAACTTGATCCTTCTGCCCCCTCGTGGGTGCACCATCGCCTGCCCCACTCCACAGTCCGGGCGTGATGCGCACAAGGGGAGCCCACCTGTGCAAGGAAGGGCTGGAGGGGAGACCATTTGCCTGTGTCCAGCTGGGGTGGCCAGAGACCTACGTTGCTCCCCTCGAAGACCTCCCTCAAGATCCTTGCCCTTTGCTCTGGAGAGAGGCCAGCTGGTCCAGCCACTGTGGGCCCCCCAGGGCACTTACCTCTGGACCAGGGAAGGGCAGGGAGCCCTGCCCAAAGACCAAAGCAGCTGTGGGCTATATGAGCCCCCCTCCTCATATGCCAACACACCCCGAGAGATGCAGGCCTCTCCCATTTATTTCTCCAAAGAAGCCAAGTGTCACCCTCCCTTTGGTCTCCCTCAACCCTTACCCAGGCCCAGAAGCCCGGAGGCAGGAGGGGGACAGTCCCTTCAGAGGCTCGTCAGGAGCTGGGCTGGCTTCATTTGGGGGATGAAACATTGGCTACGTGGCTGGGCAAGCACCCTCACCGCTCCCATAAGGGCTGGGCTCCCGAGGGGCAACAGGGGCCAAGGGCACCCACATCTCCAGCAGCCCCCCCCCCAGCCCCCTTCTTACCCGGCAGAGCAAGCCTCAGACTTGCCTTCGGCTGCAGTGGCTGCCCTGAGCTGAGGATGGGCAGGAGGGGCTGCGTGCCTTCCCTCCCCGCCTGGAGATCTGCCTCCCTGCCCCGGCAGACGCCACCCCCTGCCTCGCCCAGAAGACGTGGCCTTCCTTCGGGGGATAGCGCGGGCACCAGGAAGTCCAGGCCTTTTGCTCTGGGAAAGACTTGGGAGTGAAAGCCTTGCAGGCTGAGCACCAACTTCCAGTGCTGTATCTAGTTCTGTGCCCTACATGTTAAAAGGGATGGAGAAAAACTGGAGCAGCGTCAGAGAACAGCTGGTGAGGTGCTGAGGGCCTGGCAGCCGAGCCCCGTAAGGATGCGAAAGGCGCTGGGCGTGCTTGATTCGGGCTCCTGCACAGAGCCAGGGGTTGGACTGGAAGACCAGCAAGTCCTTCCCAGCCCAGGCCCTCTCCGATTCCGTGAGCTTGTTGAGTCCCTTCCTAAAACGGATGGTCCAGAAACGAGAGGACAGGGCAGAGCTACCATGTCCTGCGATTTGGAAACTGTCACCTGATCTGTTTTTTTAAGTGAAGAACTTTGCATTTGACCCTCCTAAATGTTGTTCTGTTACCTTTTCAGACCTCTTCCCTAACGTATCAAGATTTTGAATTTTGTTTCTTCTAGCGTATTCGTTATCCTGTCCAGTTTTTGGTCATCTGCTGATTTGACAAATATACTTTCCCCTTCTTTGTCCAAGCCATTAATGAAGCATTGAGTGCTGGGGCCAAGACTCAGCCTTGTGGCACCCTATTTGATGCCCCCCTCCAGTTCGGTAAGGACCCTGGATACACACTCTTGAGTATGCGCTGAGTTTTTCTCCTCTCCTGGAATTATTTTTAGGCCAGCTGTGCATCATCCACCTGTCACATCGTCCAGCTCACACTTAGCTAGATTGCCTAATTCACGCCTGAAAGCTGCCACCAGAGCAAACTTTTCAAGGTGATGGGGAGAGCCGGAAGGCAGGCAGCAGTGTGTAGTGTAGAAACCAGTTTGTAGATTGGCTCAGATCAATAAAAGATCGGGTTGATGGAAGCAGTGACTGGAGAAGTGTTACCGGGTAGTCAATAATTGCTAGTGAAATTGAGTGAACTCTCCCTCAGGTTATGGGGTGTTTTGTGTTTGTTATTGTTTTTTAAATGATTTGTTTTATATTGATTTTTAAATTTTGTTGTTTTTGATTATTTTGTTGTAGTGTTATTAACTTTTTATGCTGCTAAGAATCACATATGTGAGATGGGTGGCTATACACATTTACTAAATAAACGAATAAGCATGCCACGGTGAGCTCTATCAATACTTTGCTAAAATTAAGATATGACTATAGCCTTCCCACCATCTATTACAGAACAGTCATGTTGAGTGTTTGCATTTGGTATGTGCTTATTTAAGCAGAGCATGAGACTTATTTTCCCCACCACCACAATTCCGTAAGGCAGGTTGGGCTGAAAGAGTGTGACTGGCCCCAAGTTACTCAGTGAACTCCCATGGCTTAGAGTGAACTAGAACCTTGGGTGGGTGGGTGG